GGGAGGGTCTCCGATCCTGCCCAGCCTGGGGAACCCGGCACATCCGTGAGATCCCAGACAGGGACGTGGACGGGGCCCGGCGGGGAGGGGGAGACTCGACGCGGCCTGCGCCCGGCCCTCTCCTCATCCGGGCCCGCGGTGCAGCCCAGCCCCGGCTTTCAGTGTTTTCTTCAGTTTTGCAACAGAGGAGACAAAGAGGAAGGAAACGGGCAGACTTGGGGCGAGGCGGAGGGCTCGGGGCTGGAAGCCGTTTCCCGCCCCAGGGCTACTGGGGTTCAGCTCCTCTCCCCCAGTTCTGCGCTCAGCTCGGGTCAGCAGGGTGGATCACTGCGCGGGAACTCGTCCCTGCCGCCAGCGGCGCCTCCCTGCTCAGAGGCGCGGCTCCCCTTCTGACTGGACGGCGTGACGCGGCGAAACCGCGGCTTCTGCTTTTTGCTTTTTTTCCCAGCACTGAGGTCGGAACCGGTACGGGGCCTTCCCGCCGGGCTCCATTTTATCGTGGACCAGGTATGGCTCAGCCACTGAGCTGCCCGGGCTGGGCTCCAGCTGGGGACCCTCCTGCCTCAGCCTCCCAGAGTGCTGGGATCACGGATGTGCGCTTCTTTCAGTTCCATTTAAAGACAAAACGAAACGCAGCCAGGGTTACCAAGAACTCCAGCGGCTGGCCCCGCACTGTCCTGATCACCACTGAGAACGAACAGCCCTGTGGGCTTCTGGCTGGGGCCAGGCGCCGGGCTCTCCCTCCTGGCCGTGACTCACACGGAGCTGGAAGCGGGGTGCGGTGGCGCCCACCCGTTATCCCAGCATCGGGAGGCCGAGGCAGGAGGATCTCTGGGAATGCCAAGCCAGCCTGGGCCGCATAGTGAGTTCGAGGCCGTCTCGAAAACAAAAATAACTACATCGGGCTGGGGTCCACACAAACCCGGGTTTGGGGTGCAGCCCGGGGCAGAGGCCTCGGGGAGCCCCGTCCCAGCCCTGCCCCCCAGTTCCCGGCCAGTTCTGCCCTCCACGGGCCACCATCCCGCACACAGCACTGCCCGGCTCCAGAACTCCCCACCCAGCCCTGGGTCCCTTACCTGGCCCCGTGGACCCGCTGGGGCGGCTGCGTCACAGAAGTGGGGAATTCTACGCTCTTTGGGCCTCGTACCCACAGCAGCTGAGCTTTTAACGTCGTCTGGGGCCCAGGGATCAGGGGCAGGGATCTCGCGGGGATCCTCCTGCCTCGGCCTCCCGAGTGCTGGGGTGACAGGTGCGCCACCACACCCAGCTTCCAGCTCCATTTACAAAGAGGGGGGAAAAATAAACGCGGAGAACACAAGGCCGTCTGGCCGCTCTGGTCTGCGCGCAAAGAGCGGGTTCTGGGAGCTGCCGGGGCCCCAGTCACAACATGGCGCGGCCCTCCCGGCAGCAGCCGC